GCATGCACCCTGAGGAGCCTGAGCTGCCACCCACTCAAAAGGTTAAACAAGATGAATAATAGATTTAAACTGTTCACAGTATCATTCAACAACAAAAAACGTGTGCCATTAAATGCTCATCTCAAGATTGTGACTAAATGTACTGAAAAATAGCTACTAGATGGCCATCATTTTTGTCTAAAATACCATAAATGTCATTTTCAGTTTTCAGCCAAAAAGAGAAAACAATGTGTTATTTTATCTTTGACATGAACAAAAAGCTGTATGCATTGTGAAATAATCCAGGTTCCATTAAATCTAATTTAAATGTAAATCATGATGGATGATATATTGAAACTTTTTTTTATATATTTATATAATATTTAAAAGCTGTTGAAGGCTAGATGTTATGCCACCTGAAGGAAGAACAAGTCTAATACTAACAGTTATCTGTGCAGCTGAAATATTTCTAACAATCATAAAGCAATTTCGAACACTATTTCAAATTGCCATATGCACCATTGTATCTAAAGCAATGTATTCACTGTTGCTTTCGGTCATAAAAAGATTGCAATGTGTGTAGGCTAGAATGCACAAAATTAATCCATTAAGTTATAACCTATGAATAAAGTAGCCATGTGTGTGTTTAGCGTAAATAGAGGAATGGGATGCCATTATAAAAATAAGTGGATCATCTTGAATGAATCAAATTTAATTTCAGTCTACAACCAGCCTGGCCTGCAATTTATTGTGGCTTTTCTTTCCTTGGTATTTCAACATAATGCACATGTTTTTTTTTTTCTTTAACGCCTTCCATTAACTTCCAAAAAAAAAAAAAAACACCTCTGGAAATCTCTACTAAACATGAAATAGCCTACTGTCTATTTTTCATCAGTACAAGAATATATGTAGAACAGGAAGGATTGTAAGTTTTAATATTTCGTAAATCATTTCAACTTGGTAAATTGGTCACTAAATTGTGGTATTTTTTTCATGAAATGGCATTTAATGTAGAATCCACCCTGCAGTCACACTGTACACATTCATTACCAACAGAAGTGTTGGCAATGCTGCGCGTCAGGTTTTTGATCTTTTGCGGGCCACAGCTGTTGTGCTCCATTTTGGAGAGGAAAAACAACAACAAAAAGAAAGAAAACAAAGGACTCTAGTGAGAGCGTACTTCTTATGGATATGAGATGGAAAGATGTTTTGTAATCACATCAAGTGAAGAATCTTTGTTGTGTGTCTAGATCTTGGCAGAGAACACAGGCTTCTCCTGTTATTAATGATCCCAGTAGAATTCCTCTACTACCTCTCTCTCTCTCTTCAGCTTCCTCGCTTTCCTCCTCGCAGTACGCTGATCCATCACCATCTCCTTTTCTCACTACTCTACCTTTCTCAGAGCGTTATCTTGAAAACTTTCCACTCCGCTGTCTGTCACAAAGACTCTGATCTTTACATGTCAACAGAAAGGGACTGTCCTAAAATGGCAGTGGCGCAGAAACCTCCAGGGAGCGTCTTAAAATACCGCCACTCTGCCGAGTGCTGGAGAGGCACCTGCTGCTCCGAGACCCCTACTGAGGTGGCAGATGCTTCCGCCTCAAAGAGGATGCTTGAATCCTAGTTGGAGTTGAGAGGATATGTGCAAGTCTTCCTTGTTTTTCACAGTTTTCCCCCCTCTCATTTAACTTAAGTCTCGCGTGCGCATTTGTCGGAAAGAGGCCTTGTCTTCGCGTTAAACTCGCGTCACCGGTCACATACTCTTTTCTTTAAGTCAACAAGTAGTCCTTTGAAAAGCCCACACTTTTCTTTAGCCTAGCTAATGCGGCAGTCATTATATATCAGATTATGCCAGGAAAGGACTTTTATTCTTTTGTTTGCAATTTCTCTTTCAACCTCCAAATCCTCCTTTTTTCTTCTGTAGGGCCTCTTCTTTCGCACTGCAGCATTCCAAGCGTCAAACCGATGACAAGGAAAGGTGGGACACTGACAGAGAATCACATTGTACAAGAGCAAAAAAAAAAAAACTCTTTGGGGTGAAGTTACTTCTTAGTCGTCCTAATGCGAACAACACTCTCACACCCTACAAAAAGGGGCGATGAGGATTAGCTTAGTCATTTTCTCTGCCTGGCGTCACACTCCCGCTAATCAATTATGGATTGTTTGGCCTCAAAACGGCACACTGTCAGTGTATTTGTTAATCGTTTGTGAAGGCTTTTAAATGTGCCTCATTCAGTGCACAGTGGCCCAGAACCTATCCGAGCCCTTGTGAAAAATGTGTGTGTGCCTGTGTGTTTGGAGTCGTGGCAGCAGCTCATAACCGTGCAGATTATAAAGTAAAAGTTTTACAATGGAATCCTTCTGAATGAAAAGCAGGCATCTTAAACCAGGCCTGTATTGAAATTTGCACAAAAGAACAAGCGTCTGAGTGCTGCTTGACCGTTGAAATTTGAACTTTTAAAGAGTAATGCTGTTAGTAGCTGGTGAGTTTTAAATGTTTCCTCATCTGAAATTTTACACAGTCAAGGATTGTTTGGAATCAGGTACCTTTCTTCATCTGAAAAAAAAAATCACATTAAAAATGAATGGCATGTTTGACAAAAATGATATAATAATGTACAGATGAGATGAAGACTAGTCTAATAATAACTGTTTTATTCTCGTAGGGGCCACCACGAGACATCAGTTGTTTGAAAATTTTTGTTTTGTATAATGCTTTTTCTAGTGTTACTTTCCAAAAAATAAAATATAAGTGTATCTAAACAGTATATACAGTATATATATTCTGAACAATAAAAGCCATTCTAACAGTATAGGTATAACATTTGTTATACTTATATAATACAGTATATATTTTTGTACAACTGGAAAAAAGATAAGCAAGCAATTTGGTAAAAAGTATAAAGGCAGCACTCTAGTCCAGCAAAAAAGTAAAACATAAATAAATAAATAAAATAACTTAATTTGAACCCTCATCCAAATTGATCTGCTAAGGAGCAAATAATTGATTATAATTTGTGCTTTTTTATGAGCTCAAAACATTTTCTTGTCATTTTTTTTTTTTTTTTTCATTTAATTTTTCTTTTCCTAATCACATTTAAATCAGAAAGTAAACTTAAATGAAAAAATAAAATGGCCAAGTAAACAGGCCCTACATCCATAGCCATGAGGAGGACCGACGGCACACCAACTGTAAAATGCCTCCAGGACACAAGACTGTACTCAGCAGCCAGTGTGAGGCAGGCAGGGAGAGAGCTTGCAGCAGAACGGCAATGTAACAGCCAGCCAGAGTGAACAAGAACCACCAACACATGGAAATTTGCTGGAAATGAATCTGAGAATGTCTGTTTTATTGATGTGTGTAGTATGAGTGAATCGGATAAACAACAAAACGGAACAAATCAAAATATAAGCAAACTGCCCTGTTTTGAAGCAGAATCATATAGCCAGCAAAACAAACAAAATATCCTAAATTCAATTTTAAAATTTTGTTTTTAGAAGTTCCTCATCTTCTGTATACTGTAATCCAAGCCAAACATACTGTGATTAATTTTATATAATGTGAATTTAAGGGGGTCTGAATACTTTCCGTACCCACTGTATATGCACGTATGTGGTGTGTTTGTGTTTATATTACATTAATAGGCACACTATTAATAGGCACATTACTATGATTAAATTAGAATTTGGCAAAAAAAATTTAGTGATATTTTAATAAAATGTTTATTTTATGTATATACGCACTACATTCAACATTTTGGGGGCAGTAAAATTAGTTTTTATGTTTTTGAAAGAAGGCTCACCAAGGATGCATTTATATGATCAAAATGCACTGAAAACACGTAAACTATTGCAACTGCTTTCTATCTTAATATATTTTAAATTGTAATCTATTCCTGTTATGGCAAACCTTGAATTTTCAGCAGCCATTACTCCAGTCTTCATTGTCACATGATTCTTTAAAAAAAAATCATTCTAATAATCATTTGCTTAATAATTTTTTTTTATTATTATCAGTGTTAAAAACACTTGTGCTGCTTTTTGTTTTAAAAGTATTAAAAGAAAAAAAAATGTCCCTGACTCCAGACTTTTGAACTTTCCGTTTCACAAAATGTGACTATTGTAGGAAGGATGTCAGCAAAAGTCGTTCAGTGTTAATTTAGTGAGGGATTCATCAGACTGATTCAAACTGTAAAGTTTGAGTTTTTATGAGCTCAAAACTTTTCTTGTTATTATTTTGTGGTTTGTGTTTTTCTCATCACATTTAAATCAGACAGCAAACTTAACATTATCAACTCAGGTAAAAAATGATTTATCTTGCTGTGGCGTTGAAGATTCGGCAGCGGTGGAGCGCCACTGATGAAAAGCAGAACAGAAAACACTGCCATCAGATGCTGATGCATACACATCATTATGGGTTATGTTTGTCATCATAAACTCTAGAGTTCAGTTAACCGCAGTTCACTTTGACTTGACTTTGTGTGGTTCTTTCCATCATAGTCCATCGTTAGAGACATTCATTTCATACAAGTACAGGCACTGATCCAATGACAGCCCTCTAAATCAGAGAAGCTATTAGGATTTTAATGGCAGCTTATTAAATTACAGCTTTTGTTACATACAAAACCTTGTATCTACAACAAAGAAATAGCAAAACTATAACAGCAGTTTCCATAGTGCAATGAAAAAGGTGCAACTTAGGTCAGAAATTTTAATAACTTTTAACAAAGACATTGCTACATTTCTTTTCTTTCTTTTTTTTAACCTGAGGTTTTGTTCACAGCTCACTCTGAAAGTTTTCAGCAAGGTTATTGTTTTTATATTTCATCATCTCATATCTTATCTCCCTTTCCCTAGGCACTTCCTGCTTAAGACTGGAACCGGCACCACATCTCTCTTCACAACTCCTAATCCCGGTTATACTATGGCGACTGGAGCTGTCTACTCTCCACCAGCTCGTCCCTTAACCCGCAACACGCTATCAAGAGGTGCATTCAAATTTAACAAGTCACCTAAACGGTGTTCGTGGAAATGCACTGCTCTCAGTGCTGTAGGCGTGGCCACCCTGCTGTCAGTTCTGCTCTGCTACTGTATAGGTAACTCTTTGTGTGTGTGTGTGTGTGTGTGTGTGTATGTGTGTATGTGTGTATGTGTGTGTGTGTTTGCGTGCCCTTATGTGACCATGAGGTACTCAGGTGCGAGCTGTTTTATCCAGCCTGCCCCCACAAGAGATAGCGAAATAGCTCATCGGGTGGAGTTTTTCCTTCCTCTGCCTTCATCTGTGGCCAAAACAGCTGGTGCTCTGCTCTAAAGTCGCCCTATCTCTAGGAAGTCACATACACACAGATATACTGGAAAAAAATACATCAGTTTAGTGATTAATGTCTGGAGCGAAGCAAAAGCTCCATGATCTTATTGTCTGCAGCGATCTATATTCACTCCGTTAGCACTCACAAACATTATAACCTCCATTTTTTAACATTGTTTCCCCACTGTGAGTTATTTGCCGCAGTTGGAGACTCCTCCTCCCCTGCTGAAGGCCTGTTAGAAACATTCATCCCTCCAAAGATCAAAACAAGAGGAAGAGAGGTGTGTGAAGCGCAGCCTCCTCAGCAAGCTCCCTCGCTGTGAACTTTGAAGGAGACTTTTCCCAAGCTGTTTTCACACAGATCGAACGGTTAAAAAAAAACTAGAAAGTGTTTGCCTAAGATTTAACGGCAGTGCATGAAGAAGAGAATGTTTTGAGGAAAGAGGAGAGACAGCAAGGGGGAAAAGAGAATGGGAGAAACTCCTGTATTATATAACGCAGACATGTTTTGATCTTCAGGCTTTTGATTTTCGCATTTTCCCTCTTTTTTCTTTTTAATCACTGGAATCTAATTCCATTTTCTCTGCAATAAATGTTTTCAGTGACAAGCTAAAGACTAATCTGGAGTATATTCAAAACAGTTTGTGTCAAGGCCCCATGCAGCGATAATTCACAGAACATGTTTTCAAACAGTAAAAAAAGACATTGGTGCACTATTTAGAGAGTCTAATGAGGGAGAGGTTTTCTTTTTATATGCACTGCGCTTGTGTCCAACACATGCGTAAAGGAGACTGCAAATCACCTTCCAGAGTGGCTTTCAACAGCTTTTAAACTATATCCTTTTGCAAATGAGAATGTCTCCTGACATGATATGTGCTTGCTGTTCCGTTTCATGATCTTAATTGCCTTCTCTCGCAGCCATGCATGTACTTGGCCTGAACTGGAAACTGAAGGATGTGGATAATCACGCCTTTGAGAATGGACGAGCCACACCAGTGACGTTCCCGACCAACACTGTGACTGCAATTTCTGCAGATGGTAACATTTCAAGGCCGAAATCAATGACCTTTCAGTCACAGAGGACTGCATTTTCATATCTCTATGAGATATTTTAGATACGTTATTTTATATAGATTACAGTTATTTCTTTCAAGCTGCATATTCATTTGTAGAGCAGTGTTTCCTTTTCAGTTTCTTTCTTGTTCTTAGTGCAGTATAGTACCCAATTGCAAAAAAATTACAAGAAACAATGTTGTAATTTAGAGGCATAGTCACCTTGTAACATATAAAGTCACAAGGAACAAAGAAACAATGCTGCAATTGAGAGATAGAAAGTTGTATTGTGAGATATAAAGGACAGCTAACCACATTGGTCAATTCCACAGTCAATTCCCAATGGATAAAATAAGTAAAAAGGGTCCTGAATGTCATGATGACTTTAAAGACTGCTAAAGTACTACAGAGAAACAATAGTGATAGCATCTTTCTCTACGGAGTGACAGTCTCCAAAGAATAGCATCCACTGTGCTAGGTTTGTCCTAATTACCATGTTTAGAAAGCATCAGTTTGAAGCAAGTCAATTAAAGACGATTTCCTCATTCTGAGTGCGAACTTGCCATGCTATATTGTGTTCTTTTAATTGACTTACTGCCTCTTTCTGAAGTGCAATATAAAGATGTTTGCCTGTGTTGTATAAACTCTGTCAACTGTCATCTGAATGATAGCCTTTGGAGAGTATGAAAGAGCATGGCAAATGCCTACTGCAAGTTTTAGGGTAATGTGTGACATTTAGAGGCTCTCATCAGGAAAATGATTGAAGAGACCATTTATCTCTGAGCATACTGTTGAGAAATATATTAAAAAAATCTTTTAATTTAATTTTCTTTTGAAATTTTAGGCTTGAAATAAGACCAAACCCTTAGTTTTATCCAAAAATGAAGCTGTCTTGACTGGATTGATAGGAATTAGTATTTGACTGGGTTTGCTACAGTGAATAAACTTTGGGCAAAAAAATAATAAAAAGAAAATGAAGTAAGCATGAGTGCCCAACAATAAAGACCCTTATTTAATATCAAACTGTAAATTTAAAGGGGTCCTATTATGCTTTTTCACTTTTTCAACTTTAGTTAGTCTGTAATGTTGCTGTTTGAGCATAAAAAATATCTGTGAAGTTACAAAGCTCAAAGTCCAATTCAAAAGGAGATATTTTATTTAATAAAATTTGATTAAATTGTTTTAATTTGATATCACAAATATCGGCGAATGGGATGAGACCTGGTTGAGCTGCACTAGAGGAGTGTTATACGAGTGTTATCACTATGTCGGAGACACGCTAGGTTTCCTTGTAATAATGTAAAATATGTGAAAAATAATGTGTTTTTCGAACAACCTAGTATGAGAGCCTGTTCTAGTACACCCCCAAAACAAAATCAAGACTTTGTAAAAGAGCATAATAGGACCCCTTTAAGTCTTATATGTGAATTGTGAGTAAACTTCAAATATTATAACAATACAACTGTGACAGTTTTCTGGGCTTATGGATTCAGTTATGGAATAATACTATTTTAATACGTGTCTGCTCACAGGAAAGGTAGGAGTGATGCTGCAGTATAACTCCACGCTGGACACAGGACAGGTGGAGTTGGGTCAGCAGGTAGCACATGCCATTCCACCAGGAGTTTTCTGGAGGTCCAGACTTCTCATTGAACAGCCCCACTTTCTCAAGTTTAATATTTCGATTCAGAAAAATGCCCTCATTGGAGTCTATGGGAGGAGGGGACTTCCACCCTCACACACCCAGGTAATACAATATCAAAGTCTTCTAGTTTAATTGTCTCAAACAAGTCATAAGTGGCTAAAAATAGTTAATCATTAAGTTATTTAAAAAGAAGGTCAATGGACTTTTTTAATCTTCCAAAATGAATGAATTCGCTGCATTATTTTGCGTTTATTAAACCACAGATAAAACTGTTGTCTGTCAAGTATCCGATACTCCTGTTGACAGAAGCTATTCAATATAAAAATCAAGGAGTTGAAGGAATCAGACGTCCAAGGTTATTCACCAGAAAGAACAAATCCTTCTTTAATCATAACAAAACAAAACAAACTGCTCCAACAGAAAGACATCTTCTCTCTGTCTCAGTGATTGGCTGGGTGTTTAACACTCACAGCTGTCAATAAAAGCAGCATCTTTCGTAAGTGCTGAGGAAAACTGTCCAACTTATTGTAGATATTCAATCAATGTGTCCCCAAAGCCATCACAATAAACTAAAGCAAGCTTATTGAATGCTGCTTCCAATTTGCCATGTGTCTTCTTATTGCTTTTTGTAGCTGACCAGTAGGAAATCAATTGGAGAAACTTTAATTTAAAGTCTTCAGTTAGTGGGTCTATCTATTTATTTTAATGTTCTGCTTGAAGTAGTGGGAAGTTCTAGTGAATAACACACTCTGTGATGCCAAATTAATGAAAAATAGACATCTGTTTTCCTTAGTGTTGTAAAAGATTTCTTGGCATGATATTTTGGGACCAGACAGGGTAATGGCAGCCTAAATGTCATGGTGTCTGGATATTAAATTTGCCTTTTATTTTGTTGTGACCCATTTGACAACAGCTGAGTAATAGCGGTCAATGTAATTGTGTGTGTTTCAGTACGACTTTGTGGAGCTTCTAGATGGCAGTAGGCTCATCTCACGAGAGCGCGTTCAGTTGGATCTGGAACTCGGGGACCCCAGTACCTGCACACCGGTGTGTGGCACCTGGCCTTTTACAATGATGGCCGCACTGTAGAGCCTGTCTCATACAGCACCATAGTACTAGGTGAGCTAGCAAAGTGATACAACCATGTAACTTCATGTGATTGAGTGCATACGCGTTTGTCTTTGTTTATGCACCACAGAGAGTGGCTGGTTATTTTGTGTTTCTTGCTTATTTATGCATCAAAGCTGAAAATGTAATTTCATACCCAACATTATGTAATGTGATGCTTGACAGAGCGACTGGGCCATTGTAACAAGCTTTTATAGGTGCCTTCAGATGGCCTTTTTATATTTCTGTCTTGCACCCAAGTGCCTGAGATAGCGCAGCAGTGATAATGAGGCGTGCAAAGGCATGCCCTGAGTTGTTGGCTAATCAATAAGTTTGATTCTGCCGCAATCTCCTTCTGTCAGGCCAGGGAATATGGAGGCCAAAAGACTAAATCTCTAAGCCTTGAGCTGCTGAGCTGTTTGTTTTTATCTTCAAATATGATTTGTATGCGGCCATGAGGAGGATCTGCTTTTATTTACAGCAAAAAAGAAAAGAAAAGTACTTGCTTTTTCAATTATTTATGCATTTATTTATGAAGTGGGAATTCAGTATTTGGCATAGTTTCCATAGGGACTCCTTATAATTTTTAATGTAAAGACACTCTAGTAGTGTTTTTAACCCTCTTACTTTGTTCTATGCCTTGTTAGACCGCAAATATGAAGCAGTGTAAAAATGCAGTTAATATGCCACAAAAATGTAATTTTATTATCTGACCTTCTTTGTGCAGAGTCGGTGATAGAATGCCCACACAATTGCTATGGCAATGGAGAATGTGTCTCAGGCACATGTAATTGCTTCCCAGGATTCCTTGGGCCATATTGCTCGAGAGGTGTGTGTGGTGTTCTAATGATATAGTTTTCGCTGTCAGGATGAATCTCACAAAACACCTGTAAAGAACCTGTCCACAC